CCAACTGACGGTTTCGCAAATCAAAATTATAGTTTCTCAAAGCTGTCTTGAAATGGTATAGTTTAGCAATTATAAGTCGTTGTTTGTTTCACCTTGGCTCTCCTTTGAAAATTAACAAAAGCGCTGATTAAATCAAATGTACATTCCAATGATGAACTCGAAACCCGAGCATTAGCCGAAGCAAACAGCTTTAATTGCTCTAGTGCTTCTCCAATTGAGATAGCTTCCGGTGCATTAAATACTCCACATTGATCTCTTTTTTGCATGGCTTCGCTGCATTCGAACCGAGTTCAACCAATGACTAGAATCGAGACTTGATGCAAAAAATTTAGATAACACAATTCTTTATCATGAAATTCTAAACAGCCGACTTCTTCATCAGAAAGACGTTCATCAAGACACAGTGAGTAAAGTCTTTGATCAGATCTCATTTATCCTCTGGCGGCAACACCATCGNCTGATTAAATGTTGGTTTGAACCCAGCTTTTAGGAAAGCGTTGATCACTACGTGCGGGTGCACAGATATCCATGCCTTCTTGGTCAGATGCATGCCCATGAGGTTTTTTACTCCGGATTTCATGCTAAGCTGCTCATCTTTACCCGAAGATAAAACATATTCCAGTAAATGTTTCCGAAACGAACATTCGAACGACCAAATCACACCCTGATCCACTGGTTTTATCATCGAAGAAAAGTTGGGCGGCAGCCGTACTAATTTGACATTGGAGAATACTGACAATTAGTGTTATCAATAAGTAGTAAAATAGAGTGCCTTTGAAAAACTCTCTTGCGGTTGACTTTAGACAGCTAACTGTGAAGTAACGCAGGGTTCTTTGATTATTCATGAGTTCAATGAAGGTTTTTTCTTTCTATTCCTCTCAGACATAATGGAGTTGGAAAATTTCCAATAGCCTACGGTGATAAAATTTCCTTCAGTCATGCTCCCACAAAGCAGTAACGTGATCCTCTCTTTGGATTTCTTGGATCCATAAACTGTTTTCCTTTGGAATGTAATATACTTTCTGGGATATGCTTGTTAGATAAAGCTGTTTTAGCTGTATTGGAACTATCGTAGTCAGTGAATCCATGGTTCAACTGCGGTAACCCCGCTCGAAACTCATCCACTGTATCACATGGTACCGCCAAACTTTCCCCACAAACCTACTGAGCAATGCACTTGGGTATTTTCTTGTCTGATCAAGAGCAAAGTCAAATTTCGGAAGCCCTGAAGTCATGATAATGCATTCTTTGTGCAAGCTGGATTGTCTTCTTGCAAATGCTGCCCACGGCCATGTGGTGGTTCGATGGGATTTAACACTGTAAACAGATTTTCGTAAAATACTAAGTGACTGGGGCTCATTCTGGTCGATAGGCCCTGAAACATTTTGAAGTCAATTGACACTGTCTTCTATTGTTAGCATCGTTGTGTCTTCCTCGCAAAAATTATCCAATCAGTGGACAGTATCATGTTCGCGTCACACTAGGTGAAACGCAATTGGCTGCGTACGACATTGCAGGTTGGCTGGTCATTGACCGTCCCGAACATCGATCAACGACCAAGTTTGTAGATATCAGAAACTGCGACATATTGAGGAAGGTTGACATTGCTTGGTCAGAAACTACGTTGGTTGGTTTGGATTTTACAAAACGTGGGAAGATATTGGAGAATGCGACTTCTCAGGGGTGCGACATAGCAGGAGATCGACTGTAGTTTTTCGGTAGTTTAAACCTAGCGCTGCTTTATTTGTGCTTAAACGNACGCCGGTATATGGATAAAGCTAGAGGAAAGCTTCAAGCCATTCAGCGCCAATGTTTTTCGGATACGATCTAAGATCCTCGAATAGTACCCTCTATCACTTTCCACAAATAAAAACTTACTTCCGCAAGCGGGCTCTGAAACCAGTGACCAGGGGGTCTCTGATTTGGATTCCGAAACTATGGGTCTCGTCCACCGAGTAACATTAGAGATATCGTACGTTTTGAATGCTTCGGCGCGTATGCATTTAACATTTTTGTGTCGGTTTACGATTCGGATCCTCTTTGCTAGAAAATGCAACGAGAAATATCCACTTAGAAATTACGTCCTTCTTACTTGTGCCATCATTGAACCGATCAATGCCTGTGATCCTCTGCCCGTTCACCCTTGTCCCTTTAGCAAAATTTGACCATTACACTAATTTTACGTAGTTCATTGTGTCGTGATTTTCCCCGATTTTTCATCGTTTTGATCCACAAAATTGTGTTTGTTATAGACGAGAAGATTACACGGCATTGGTCAACGCTACTCGTCTTTTGATGTTGCTAATAGTGACCTGTTGTTTGTTCTCTCCTTAGCTTGTACAAACGGTGCATTACCGATTTTTTGGATAGATCTTGCTCTTACGAAATATCCTAATGGATTGAGGTGCAAGCAACGGATTGTGTCAGAGTGAAACTTGTATTTTAGCTGATTGCATTCGTATCCGAATCAATCAGTAAATTTAAATAATCAACTGGCTCAGTATTCGCCGAAACGATTCAATACCTATGAGTTGTCCATACCACCAACAAACGCCCACATTTATTTCCCTGATCACGACGTGCAGCCCATGTGTTTTAGGTTTGGCAGCCTGGTTTGAGTCCCTCCGAGGGAAGAATCTGCAATTCCTTCAGACTGCACCACAGACTATCTCAGTCAGTTTGATGGACGCGAAGAATAAAACGTAACAGGGATAAAAATTTAAGGAGGACAAAATTGTGACTTCAATCCACCCCAGTTCAGTTGGAACTAACGACATTCGAACGAACGGACCTAAGCAATTTAACCACATCGATTTCTCTTCCCCATCCTGGGTTTTATTTCTCTTCCATCCCGAGATGAGCACAAATGAACAACGTCACGTTCGTTATTCGGTCAACAAAGCTGCTCCCGCTTGAGTGTGTGTGTGTGTGTGTGTGTGTGTGTGTGTGTGTGCGTGATGCGGACAGAAGACCGCAATGGGAGCTGTTGCTGTCTAATCCCCAGTATGTCTGCAAAAGTTCCATGGGGAAGCGTTTTATGTAGCCCGCTATTCGTTTTCTTTTGGTTGTTTAGTTTTATATTTATCGGACAAGTCAGTCGGTGAGCCATCCTGGAACGATGGCAGTCCTCGATGGTATCTGATTCGGGGAAGATAACGATACGACCCATTCATGGAGTAGATGAAAAAAATTCCATTCTTTAAGACGAATATTTGTCTATAGTAATTTCGTATTAGGAGGCAAATATATATCTGTTCTTCAATCGCACTTCCCGTCGTAGACATTCACTTCATGGTTTCTATGGGAACAATGCTGTCCAAACATTAAACTTGTTTAGGATTTCACGGTTGACTTTGAGACGGAAACGGATCAAATAAGAAATAGAGACATGGTATAGGTGAACATGATTCATTCTCGATCCGTTGCAATCACATTTACTTATCGAAAAACCCAAGTTCGACGAATGTTTTGTCTTCAGTTCATAAAATTAACGTTTGTGAATATAACAAAAAGAGTTCTCTTATTTAAGCAAGTTTCCTGTTCTTATTGTAAATAGATAGTCGTACAAATTCAGACTGCAATGTCATCGTTGATTTCACTGTCTGGATACAACATGTACTAGGATAACAACCAAAAAACAGAGCAAACTCCTTCTTTATCTTAACAGATTGAAGTAAACTAAGGAGAAAAGTGAAAACAGCCTAATTTCGTTCTACCAAACTTTAGAACAGCTCCAAAATCTATGTCCGTAGAACAACAATGAGGTCAGTCTTGACCTTAATCCTCACCAGACAAGTACAACCAGACCGCAGATCAAAATACGGGCGTGCAGAACCATGACTTGTGAGTCCCTGTATACCCAATTCATCCAATGAAAGCGAAACGTTTCAATTACTTCTCTGACCTTGTTTTCTAGTGAAAGCCACTGATCAGTTCGGGATAACAAACCGTTGTCTATCACATTGAGTGTCCATCTGCTTAATCCTGGGATCATTTCTGTACCATTAATCGATCGGAAAGTAACCATGTGTCTGTCATACATAAAAACAAGCAAACTCCAGTGCAGCTCTTGGAGTCCCGCTTGGACCTAACTAGCATCCATCGCAGAGAGTGATAAATCCGGAACATCGATTGAAATAGAAAAGCTCATGATGCTCATGATATCCCGAACATGTTTTTATACAAGACTAGTGGAAAATTATGATAGGCCAAAATAACCAGTTTAAAATTCCAATATTTGTCTTATACTTCACTTTTTTAATTGTACAGATTACAAAAAACTGGAAATTTTTACTCGCGTCTCAGTGGCATTGGTTTGTCTGTCGTTCTATAGATAGCATCAGAATACCACGGAAGAAGAAAATACAAAATGAAGTAACTCCATTCCACATTATTATAATTAAGCTCATTTGAATATACAAATACCGGTATCTGTGACCTGATCATCATCTGGACAATATGTCCGGACCTCACTCTGAACGTGTTGGCTAACCATGCATCACCCCCACCCGCACCCTCGTCTTTCATACACACACACACACACACACACACACACACACTTGATATATTTTATCTGTGTTGATCAGTCCCAACAAGAACGAATCAGCTGTTCAGAGATTTTAGTCACCAGTTCCATATGAGTTCCACGAAAATCGAATGTAATACTCTCATTGTGCCACTCCTCCACGAAAAATACCAGGTCTCAGCAAATTTGCCCGTTTGGCTCGATCAGTGACACGAAATCGGTCCGCCATGCAACAACTGGCTATCCCTCAATCCGCACCGCCTCCATCATTGGGTGCTGGGGCAAGTGATGGTCTGGGTCATGCAAATCGTCTACTGGCACCCAACGCGTCCGGATTTGCCGGCAAACTGGGCTTGAGTTCCGGGACCAGTGGATTGTCTGGGATGCAAAATTTCAACACGAGCACAAGCAGTTTTCGTTTGTACGATTCAACCCGCTCGGATCCGGAACGCGGTGTTCTGGTGAGTGTGTGTTTGTGTGTGTACGCACGCGAGAGTGCGCGATCCGTTTGTGGGTGTCTGTGCTCTGGCAACATTGCTTTTCATTCTATTGAGATGCTACGTTGATCGCACAGCAAAGTTAGGGCGATGCAGGGCAATTTAGATTACTACATTGTTCAACGATACCAGGTTTCGACTAAAAACGTGAAGTTTCATGGTTCGTTTGCCTGCAGTGATACATAAAGTATACACTCCTGAGGAGTCTGAAACAACTGTTCAGTGCTCTTCATCAGTCATCACAGAGATTCCCATCGCACAGGAATAGGGAAGGCATGAAATGAACAGAGGCATCTTTATTCTGATTATTTGTAACTTGAATTACGTGAAATCCTTGGATGGGTCAGACTGCATTGGAAATCGTGCTCATGAGGATTAATGGAACACAGCTTATTTCAACCAGAACGTGCCTAGCCAAAATTCACAGTTTTGACGACAAGTTTTCGACCCCATTTGGAAGGGGCATTTGTTGAGTCGTTTTATCTTCTGGAGCAATTGAAACGCAGCGCAACATAACCGTGTCAAATGTGTCTTAAACCATTGGTCTGGGCGAAGTACAAAAGGTAGCTCTGAGGAATGGCGGACCTAGTGACACATTCCCAATTCAAAACTGTATTAATTTGATTGCGTAATAAACTCTATACGAGTCCCAAATTCAACAGTGATTAGATAATGCGATAGCTCGGAGTAGTGATTATTAACTTCTCAAAAGAGGCTCGACCTTCCATTATGCATAACCAAGCTTCGCGAGGCTTGTCAGTGTAATCAATTATGACGAAGATACTAAAATGAAAGCATAAAAATATGTGAGTGTGGATAAGGGAAACAAATTAGAGGAACACAATACGGCTGGATGGTTGGTCAAACGGATGGTAGAAGCATGGAGTGTGAGTGGCATAGCATTGGCCCGGTTTACGCATATAACAAGCGAAGAAGGTGCTTCGTATAAGGTAGAACGATGAAACAAGGACTTAACACAAGGGAAGCCAAATGCAGTAGTTCAAATTTACACAACTGGGTAGACGGTGAACGCGCAACACCGTATTCAAGCTACGAATGCTCAAGGTACAACATCCAACACCCAAAGGGGATTATCTGGGTCGGAACTAATCAATGGTTTACATACCGAGTCTGTCTGTATAGAATCGGGCTATGTGAAGGACTACGGGGTGGACATTGCAAAACGAAGGGGTGGGGTGCTGGATAAATCTGGAGAGGTTTCACCCAGATAGATATTCCATAATGTACACAGTACTAGACTTGAGTGATACCGCTATGCGTGTCACTTTCAGCCAAAATAGCTGACTAATAAAACCTCGCATGAACACTTCTGATTGACTGTAGGAATAGCATTGCGGCCCAATGGAACATTGTTTTGTCTGGTGTCGAAATAAAATACTGAACAGTTGTTTTGTCCGTGTCCCGACTCATTAGCAGTGCCTATCATTTGCTCTTATCCCAGGCGGGGTTGGAATCGTGAATGTTTGGATTATGAGGTGAACTGCTAACCCATTCATCAAAGAGCTGATAAAAAACCTGTGGAATGGATAAAGTTCGCTCCAAATCAAATCCACACCCGAAGTATTCACTGTAGTACAAAGCTCATTATTTTGCTGATGTAACTGCCAAAACGCATTCGTGATCAGAATTTGTCCGGAGATTTCACCTGATTCTTAACATATCAGCATTTTGTTGACAGATAAGTCGAAATAGAATGAAAAAAACTATGGTGGCACTCTAATCATAACTATGAGATGATGATTCCCCTTTGCGTGTGTTGTATTCCGAATTCATTAGGGCGGTGAGGAAGCCATCTTTAATTTGCCACGTTTCGTGGTCTAGCGACCANNNNTTCAAGTCCTACACGTCCGACGCCACCGGAGATGAAGAGTCATCTAATCGTGTTTGCTGTTACGTGAGAAATAATGTAAATAAGTATGTATGTATGTTTGCAAAATGTCTGAGACGATTCGGTCGGTTTGGGCATGGTGACGGTAGAAAACACTTATTCAACGGGCCGTACACCTCTAGGTTAACTTTCGGAAGTCTATTTTTATGTTTCTTAGAATATATATTATTTGTTCTTTCAGGATGAGGGGGTGGTTTGTATCCTGCAGACCTACTCCGAAAAACTGCCAATATTGGGACTCTACTCATCTCAATCTAATCGTGGCATATCACCCTTGCCGTTCTATGATAACTTTATCTGAAAAAGGATCACCTATGTGGGCATCCATTAAAGTTGAAGACCCAGAA